GCCCACGAGTAGCAGGCAGACCCGCTAGCAGAGCAGGGCAGAGCGTGGTCCGCGTCCACATGGCTTGCTCCCTGTGTTCCAGTCTCAGCCCCTCTGCCTAAGCCCCGGCCATAACTCAGTCACAGGGGCCACCCTCATGACACAACTCACCCAAGACCCAACTTTGGGACACCATGTAGGAACCCAGTTCTCAATGCCTTTACATTCCACCAAGTCTCAACACACGCATTTCTGGGGACACCCAGTCCCTGTCCACCAAGACCAGATTCTAAAACATGAAACTCTGAGGACAAACCATGGTCCAGACCACAGCACTACTGACAGTGACCACTCTCTCTGCCCGGCCCCAGGCCCTTCTGGCTGACGCTGGCCCTGGCGGTGACCCTGCAGAACGTGGCAGCTCACTGGGTCTTCCTGGAGACCGAGCATGGACGCCCAGAGCTGACCAACCGGTGAGGTGGCCCCCTCAGACCCTCAGCCTCTTCTTTGTGTCTCTCTCTCTGTGTCCCCCTCCCTCTCTGGTCACCTCTCCCCAGCCCCTGCTCAGGGAGCCCTGCAGACACTAGCCAACCCAGAACAGCTCTCCCCGTGCCTGTCACAGGCCGAGAACCCCAGAAGCCTCTCCTGCCTTGGGGATCAGTGCTGCTCTCCCCAGACCCTCTGTTCCTTCAAAACCACATGCCTCCTCAGTTTCTGGGAGGAGGTTCATGTCAGCTGAGGCTGGGGGAACCTTGGTCCCAGGGACTGGGAAGTGGGAGACCCAGGCGGAGGTCAACCACCCAATCCTTCGGAGTCTCAGTTTCTCTTCTGCAGGAGGGGGTGTCTCTGTCTCTCAGCATGGGAGGTGGAGGGGGAGAAGGCCCAGCCCAGGGTAAGGTGTCACATGCAGTGACCAGCAGGAGCTCGAGACAGCTGCTGTATGCTCCCAGGTCCGGGAGGGGGAGAAGGCCCAGCCCAGGGTAAGGTGTCACATGCAGTGACCAGCAGGAGCTCGAGACAGCTGCTGTATGCTCCAAGGTCCGACAGGGCGCTGGGGAAGGGGCTGGGCTTGGAAGGCCTGCCTCAGCCTCTCCACCCCTCCCCAGGCGAGCCCTCTTCGCTGCCACCTTCCTCC